TCTTTTTTGTCCATATTCAGAGTTAGCTTAAAGAAGCTAGCAGTATTAAATATTAAGCCTTCAATGTTGACACTGAAGAATTAGTGCTTCCTACATGGCACTTAATCATTTGTGGTGTTTGAATTTCTTTAAAGTCCTGGCTTTGAAGTCAGCCTGACCCAGATTTGAGTTTCAGTCTTCCAGCATGCCTTGGGAAACATATTAATATATAACTAAGCTTTCTATGGCTTGGTTAGGAAACATGGATATCATGATGGTATTTATTCTTGGAGGTGGTAACATACAAGAAATGACAAATGTTCAACCTTTCCATCTTCTCTTAATTGTGTATCATTATGGGGTTTTTTTGTTTGTTTTTTCTGTTTTGCCAGTACTAGGGCTTAAACTCAGGACATGGGTGCTGTCCCTGATCTCTCTGTGCTCAAGGCTAGCATTCTACCACTAGAGCCACATCGCTACTTCTGGCTTTCCTGAGTAGTTTATTGGAGATAGGAGTCTCACAGGGACTGTTCTGCCAGAGCTGGCTTCAATCTGCAATCCTTCGATCTCAGCCTCTTGAGTAGCTAGAATTACCGGCCCCAGATTCATCATGTCTTATGAAAAGATGGTAGTAGGAGTAATAAGGGCTCGACATTAATCAATTGTTTTCTCTCACTTTAAGGAGACATGGAGAGACGGGTCATGAATAAAGGCCCACTTGGAGCTGCTGTTGAGGAGCAAGTTTTATGGAACTACAAAGAGGTACCATATGAATTATACAGAGGAAAAAGACAAACATACTTTTCCTCAAATATTAAATTCCCTACATGTAATGCCCAAATATGCAAGTTATAAATGGCCTTTGAAAAGTGGGATATTAACAGATTCCCACAGAAAAATAAGAAAGCATTAAACCACTATTTACTTTAAAACTGCCGGCTAGGGCCTTTAATCATCAAAGACTTATTGTGTTTAACATTCAAATATGCTGTATACATTCAACTCATTTCCTCAACACTGTTCTCAGGCAGAATTTCAAGTTTAAGGAAAGGGCTGAGATTTCCTGTATCCGTATTGCAATGTCTAAACAACTTCAGAGAAACTCTTTGTCCTAGAATTCACCTTGGGTACTCTCCAGGAACAAAGGTTCTACAGTCCAGAAGAGGAACACGAGGCCTACGTGGAGTTTCTCCTGCTATAGTGGCATACACTGAGCAACACCCAGGAAAGCTATGACCTTGCTTTTGAGAGGCTTAACTAAGATCCTTTATGGCTTAACATGGCTCTTCCATTTTATCTATCCATGCTTCCCTTGACCCCAGAAGCAAATGAGAGGGAAAAAAGAATTTCACAGGTCAAATCCATCAACAAGTATGGACCAGGGACTGATTGATGGATTCAAATCAAGGGCTTGAGGAATGGACTGGAGTTGATCAGGGAGGAGGAAGCACATTCCACAGATGGGGGAAAGGCAGCCAAGGCATTAGGGGTTGGCTCAGTCTAACATCAGGAGTAGCAAGCCTGTGTTAATGAGTAGTTAGACACCAAGAAAGGCATATGTTCAGCTGCCATGCACCTGAGCAGCCTTGCCAGTTAAAATACTGCAGTGCTGCTATTCGGTTGTTAAATAGTTTGAACAAACCCTAGCCACCAGATTTTTGAGAATCCTGGGAATTAGGCAGAGGAGCTTTGACTGCAGCTGGTGGGAAAGAAGTATATGAAAATATCTCAGAGGATATAAACAGAGGAATGTGATGGAAATGGTGTCCCAGGAAGACCTCTTCTGCTTTATCTCACCAGGAAGGGCAGAGAGGAGGAGTTTCACAATCCCATCCCTGGCTGTCCTGACGTGTTGTTTACTCTACCAGTCCTTCAGGAGAGGTGGCTGCCCTGTAATTTCAGGACAGAGACATGTTTATTAAAACACATTATAGCCTACCTGTACCTGCCTTTGTGTACCAGATAGAAATGATCAAGGCTTTTTAGGTTTTTCTTATCAACCTATTGGGTTTGTTTTGGAAAGTGCTCTTAAGATTCAACCCTCTTACCAGTAATATCCTTCCCCCAGGCATAAAGAATGCACTAGTACCAGGTGCCAGTCTCATGTCTGTAATCCTAGCTATTCAGGATGCTGAGATCTGAGGATCACAGTTCAAAACCAGCCCAAGCAAGAAAGTCTGCGAGACAATTAGCTACCAGAGATGCTGAAAGTTAAAATGGTAGACTAGCCTTGATCACAAAAGCTCAGGACAGTGCCTAGGCCGTGAGTTTAAGCTCTAGGACTGGCATAAAAAAATAAATAAAAAAAGAGTATACTAGGCAACTGGATACACAGATAAGGGCAGGGAACTATCCACTAGGTTTGGTGCTCCCAGAAGATCACTGGCACCTGAGCAAGAGAGGGCTTAGTCCTGGAGTGGGGGAAGGGGGTTGTACTCCTGAGAAAAGAGGAACAACATGTGATGAAGTAGGAAGAAGAAGTAGGAGGGAGTTTAACCCATGAGGCCCTGGGCTCAATCTCGAGAGAGGGGCGGGGAAATCCTTTACAAAAGTTAAGTTTAAGTGTGGGTCCACATTCTTGCCACCTGGCTTTTGCAGTGGTCCCTGCTGCCTCCTAAAACCAAGGCTAGCTTTTCTCAGAGGTTCAGACTATGATTGCCAACTCCAACCTTGAAAATAGGACCAACTACCTGCATATACCTGCTACTTGCCTGGATTTCTGAGTTTTCTCTCTCTGGCTTTCCTGTAGGTATAACAGACTGTACATTTATGATAGTAGGCTTAAGAAAGAAAAAAGCTATTGTGTAAATGTGTAATGCAGATAGAGGACAAAGCCTGAGATGTGGCCACTGGACTTAAAAGTGGTCTTGACTAGAGCTATCTCTATAGAGTAATGGGGATAGAAGCTGAACTAGTGGGATTTAGGAGGAACTGACAACTAAGGAATGACATCTTTTGAGAGTCTACAGAGATCTATGTAACTAAGATTTGGGGTCAAGCTTTGCATATTGTAAGATGGAAGATATTAGAGAGTATCTGCATGCTCATGGAAATGATCAGTGGGGGGGGGGAGGAGAGGGAGTGATGTGTAAGGGGATGGAAAAGACAAGGATAGACATGAGGACAAGGAGGAAGGCAGACATGGGACATGGAAATAGAGGAAGGAAGTTGGTGGGTGTGAAATACAAGCATGTAGATTCTCTTCTGATTGCTTCTGCTTTCTTTTTTTCTTATTTTTCTTTATTCATTCACTTATTTATATTTGCAGTACTAAGGTCTGAGTTAGATCTTACATACTAGGCAGGGGCTTTACCATTTTAGCCCCATACCCCAACTCCTTCTTTTCCAATAATGTCTCACATTTTTTGCCTGGGACTAAACTAGATTATGGACCTCTTATTTATGCTTCCCATGAAGCTGGAATTACCACTGACCCCTCCCCCTCCCCACCACCATTTTTACTGGTTAAGATGGGAATCGCACTAACTTTTACTGGCCACAACCTATGCTTCTTCCAATTTCCACCTTCCAAGTAGCTAAGATTACAGGCATGATCCACTGTACTCACACCAATTTCTGCTGTCTTAATCAAACAGACCAGATCATCAGCTGAGAGGCTAAAAGAGGAGGCAATGTAGTTTGCAATGAAAAGACAAGATACAGTTATTCAGGGAGGTGGGAGAGTAAGCATCCTAGAAAAGTGATTTGTGATAGATGGAAGGGTACATTTGAGCAGGCAGAGCAGGGACTTAAAAAGAAAGGTGATTAGTATGTGCTGTGGGCTAAATGTTAGTGCCTGTCCCCCCTCCACTAACCTTCAAGCTTGTATGTTAAAGCCCTAATCCCTAATTGATAGAATGTAGATCCTCCTACTTATAGTTCCTACATAGGTACATGCTACCACATACAACTTTTTTGTGTGTGCTGGTCCTAGATAATGAACTCAGAGCCTGGGCGTTGTCCCTGACCTTTTTGCTCAAAACCAACCTTCTACCATTTGAGCCACACCTCTACTTCTAGCTGTTTTTTTGCTGGTTAACTGGAGATAAGAGTCTCAAGGACTTTCATTCCCTGGCTGGCTTTGGACCATAATCCTTAGATCTGAGTCTCCTGAGTAGCTAGGATTACAACTGTGAGCCACCAGTGTCCAGCTCACATAAAACTTTTGTTGGTGGAAATGGTATCTTGCAAACATTTTGCCTGGGCTTGCCTTGGACCCTTCCTGTCTCAGACTCTCAAGGAGCTATGATTATAGGTATGTGCTACCACACTGGCTTCCACTTAATAAAAACAACAAAGTTGGAGCATCAATATATGGCAAATACCGTAAGTACACTGTTCCCTAAGTTAAACCTAACACTTATGAGACAAACATTTCAACTGGCATTTTGTAGATGATTCAGAAATTCAGAGGGGTTCAGAAACATGTTCCAAGTCCCACAGCCGGCAAGTAACACACTGATTATATAATTAATGGGAATGAGATGTGCTTTACAACTAGACATGGTGACTACCTGACTGAACTGGGGAATTATCATTAAATACAAATAATAATAGACTTTTCGTGATTTGGCTAAAAAAATCCTGTAGAAAATTATTTAAGTCCAGACTTTTTGGTAACAGTAAGGTCTCTATTATTATTATTGTTACTATTATTATTATTACCCATAACACCTAACTGATTCACATTTCTATTTTCTGAAGTTTTAAAAGAACAAAACACAATCCTACTCTTTCCAAGTATTCTCCAGCCTCTGAATGCATCTGGATGGAGATCAATCAGAAAGGAACCCAAGAATACAAAAAGACCTCCAGGAAAGGGCTCCTCCTGTAATTCCACCAGAGAGGCTATCCTTTGAAGTCTCCCTCTATTGCTTTGCCTGGGTTAAGATGTTTTACTATATAAGACAATAAATGATTCCTTTGAGATCTGTTATTGGGAGTGGGAGAAATGATCACACCTGTTTATCTGCTAGTTGCTGTTGTTTTAACATCAGTTTACTTCTAACTCTGCTTCTTACCTGGATCCACATCAGAAGAGTAAGGAAAAGAATGGACTTCCACAGAACTAAGTGCCTCATTGTTGGCCTCCTGGCTGGGTCTCTGTAGCATATAATCTCTTAGGTCGCAAGCCGATGGTAGGTCCAATGCACAGCTGTCCCCTGACTGGCTGCCTGGAGTGGCTTCCATAGTCTGGCTATGGGAAAAAAAGAAAAGTCCAATACAATAAGCACGATGAAGCAGGGGCCTTCATGAGTTCTTCACTGAAGAACCTTAAAGATCAAATAGAAAAACAGAAAATTTTCTTTTGCTCTGTAATCACTGGTTGCCCTTGACTTTACTTTAGACCCAGTATTTAACACCTTGTTTTCTATTTGAGGGAGAGTATTTATCACCATGTTTGTCTGTGAAGTAAGTGTTCACAATGTAGTCCAGGCTGACCTCAAATTCATGATCTTCCTGCCTCTGCCTTCCTGACTGCTAGGATTACCAGCATGTGTGACCCTGCTCAGCTACCCTATTTTCTTCACCATAAGAAACTTTCAACTGAAAGAAACCATTAGTAATTGCAGCTGAAAAGTAGGCTGCATGTCTCAAAACAGGAAAGGTTTAATCATAGAGCACTTCCCCAGGGAAAAACTATATAGATCTATAATTGAAGGGCTCAAGAATATGTGCTGAGAAGGGAAAATGTACATAATATTCAATGTAAAAAAAGTGGTTAGGTAGAGTTTGAGTCTGATTTTATAAAACACAATACAGAGCTGGGTGCTGGTGGCATATGCCAGTAATCCTAACTACTCAAGAGGCTGAGATCTGAGGATCAGGATTCTAAGCTACACTGGGCAAGAAAGGCCATGAGACTTTTTTTTTTTCTTTTGCTAGTTGTGGGACCTGAACTCTGGGCCTGGGCACTGTCCCTCAGCTCTTCAGCTCAAGGTTAACACTCTACCACTTGAGCCACAGCGCCACTTCCAGCTTTTTCTGCTTATGTAGTGCTGAGGAATCGAACCCAGGGCCTCATGCATGCAAGTCAAGCACTCTACCACTGAGCCACATTCCTAGCCCCAAGGCCATGAGACTCTTATCTCCAATACACTACTCAGAAAAAGCCGGAAGTGGTGCTGTGGCTCAAGTGGTAGAGTGCTACCACAAAGCGGAGGCTCAAGGACAGAGCCCAGACCCTGAGTTCAAGCCCGAAAACAACAACAACAAAACCATGTATGTATGAAAAATACAGACAAAAAGCCACAAGCAGAAAATCTGAAAGGCAGGTGCCAAATGAATGTCAGTGATTATCTGGGATGAGAGATTACAGATGACCTGTATTTTCCCCTCTGGCCTATGAGCCCATTGATTAGGTTATGTACCAGGCTTGGTGCCAGGTATTGGGGATACAAAGGTTAGACAATTCCTTTCAAGGAGCTCATAATTTGGGGTGAACCAAACACATTACAAGCAGCGTGTTAATGAGAGTATCACGAAGTATTAGGAATTTAAAATAACAGTCAATGCTCGGTATCAGTGGCTCAGGCCTGTAATCTTAGCTACTCAGGAGGCTGAGATCTGAGTATGGAGGTTCAAAGCCAGCCCAGGCAGAAAATTCAGTGAGCCTTTTATCTCTAGTTAACCACCAGAAAACCAGAAGTGGTGCTGTGGCTCAAAGTGGTAGAGTGCTAGTGTTGAGCAAAAGAGCTCAGAAGCAATGCCCAGGCCCTGAGTTCAAGCCCTGCAACTGACAAAATAAAGAAATAAAAGAAAATGATAGTCAAGGCTCAGCCAGGGAGGAAACAAACTAAGGAACCAGGGAGGGCCAAATCCTGTGGCCTTAGCTGGATGGCTGGGGAGCCCACCCTCTCCTTCATCAGTCTGGCAGGGACAGCAAGACCTCACTGCTGCTAGTAACCTAGATAGAAACACCCCCTAGCTGAGGGTTGACTCTAGATACCTCAGAAGTGGCTTGCTGGGTTCAATGATTGAGTATTTGTTTGAAACTAGGTATTTCCTACCCGTTCTAGGCCTATAGCTACCAGTGGGGCACTGCATACTCAGCTGGAAAACTGCAGTACATCCAGCTCCATCATCTGTGTGGAGTAACAATGGGCCAAGGGAGGGCCTGGATACTCTGCTCATTAATACACTTTATATAGCCAGTATCAGGCGTCATGAGTGCCACCATGCAGAGGTACTACATGGTACTACCTGCAAATCTGGTGGACAGATAGCACAAGACACTGGCAGGTTTGAAGCCTCCTGAGTTCTATGGCAGGCAAGTCTACAGAATGCATAAACCTGTCATGCTGCAGGAGAAAGAACATGTGACTTTGTCCAAGGCCCTGTGGGTCAAGAATAAGGGAGAAATTAAAACCTCTTCACAACCAATCAGCTGGGTGTGATGGCTTGCTTCTGTGATTCCCAACAACTTAGGAGGGAAAAGTAGGTGCATTGTAATCTGAGGTTCCTGGCAAAATATTCAAAATCCTACCTGAAAAAATAAAGCCAAAAAAGGCTTATGAGTATGGTTCATGTAGTAGATCACTTGCCTGGAAAGCATGCGGTCCTGAATTCAAACCCTAGACTGCCAAAAGGAAAAAAAAAAGAAAATATTTAAGAACTAAAAGGAGAATATTATTTTATAATTAGAGAAGAGAGTTAAAGCACTGCTCAGTGTCAGTGAGGAGAGAGAGGTTTGGTGACTTGGTTGTATTAAGAGCTGAGTTAGAGAAGACAGAAATAGATTTAGGAGGATGTAGTACTCCAAATTAAGGAACATGGGGCAGCTGTTCAAACAGAACTTGAAAGATCTCAAGGATATGTCTAAATTTAAAAAATTAAGAATAATGTGACCAGTGCAATAGAGTTCCCATGTACTGAGTGCTGACTTCACCAGCCTGTGCTAAGATCTTCATTTGTAGTAACTCTAAGCAGCAGGTAATCTCTCTGTACAGAGAGAAGTACCTCACCCAAGGAAACGCCTACAGAAAGCAGCCACCACAGGAAAAGCCCAGCTTTAAGGACCCTATGTCCTGTGCCTGAATCTGAGCAGCCTCCACGCTGCTGCCTATACTACCCAAGGAGGCAAAAATAGAAAACAGAAACAGAACAGCACCAAAGGCTGGCAAGATCTTTCTAGTCTGAGGACACCCAATCACATGCTGCTGTGGACATTCCTTTAGGCAAAGGGTAAGCCAAGATATCAGCTGATTGCTCCTGAAAGGAGGGGAATGATCAAGGTCCCCAAAGAGCAAGAACACCCTGTCTTTTCACACGTATTAGCCAATCAAGTCTGAGGTTTCACCAAACACCTCTGCATCAGGGCCCTCTAGCTCCCCCTATTACCTAACTAACAGTGCTCTACAAGGTTTCTGGAAGGGGATAAGCAGATCTCTGGATTATATCAGCATATCCTACCAGCCTTCAGAGATGCCTTCAAAGAAACAAGGATAGCCATGAAATGAAAGAAATCCTTTTCCAAAACAAATGATGTGTTGATCTCATAGCTTTATTTTTAAATTCACTTACATTGAATTCGAAATGCATTCCAAACTCCTGTTTTAGAAGGAATCATTATTCTTTCCTTCTTTTTATGTTTGTTTCTGGTATTGTGCCTGTCCTGGGGCTTGAACTGGGGGCCTGGCCACCATCCCTGTACTTTTAAGCTTGAGGCTATTACTCGTACCACTTGAGCCACAGCTCTACTTTGGGTGTTAGAGATTAACTGGAGGTAAGCGTGTCATGAACTTTTCCTGCCCAGGATCCACAGATATCAGTCTCCTGAGTAACTAGGATTGCAGATGTGAGCCACCAGCATCCTGCCTCAGTTACTTTGGGTGTAACTCAGGCAAGTGTTGGGGTTAAGTACTGTGTATACTCACTTATAAACAGGGACCTGAAACTCAACCTGAATCCCAACTCTCTGCTTACTGTGAGGAAGTCTCCAACCAGCTACCCAGCCTCTGAGCCTCTAATTCCCTATGCATAATGGAGAAGCATATTCCTTCCAGTGCTTGGCTTGGTACAGGGTAAGACTTCAGTCATAAGGATGGTGACCTTGCCCTCTCGCCTCAGGCCAGGGGCTAAGATTAAGAGACATCATTCTGCTCAGAGGCCCCCACTGGTCAATCAGGGCAGACTGGACTGTGCTTGGGTGTGAGTTCAGCAGGTACAGCAATGGCACCTACAATCACAGTCCTGACCCTGTAGTAGAGGGGGAGATTAGCCCTGTCCTCTATGCTTATCTGGCCATGGATCTCCCTCAGGAATATATACAGGGGAGAGACTAAATTCCAGGACCCATGTTCTGGATCTGTGGATCTCCTCTACCAAGCAGGAACCCCGCCTCCCATGGAGAGCTCTAGGAGACAAAGCTTATCCTTCTCCAAGCCTTGAAGAAGGGAAGGACTTAGGCAGATGGCTGAGCCATGCTCTGCTTCCATGAGAGCTGACTGAAGGTTAATGAGGCAGCTAATGTGAAGACTGAACTTTACTTGCTTTAACTTCATACAGCCCAGGACGAAAGAGTTCATTCAGGAGCCTGCTGCCATATGTAATGGATGAATAAACCATTAGAGCTGTGACTGAAGTGCTAGAGCACCAGATGAGGAAAAAATAAAACACGGTCTGGTGGCTCACACCTGTAATTCCAGGTGTAGGTGGAGGCAGGAGGATCAAGTTCAAAGCCAGTCTGGACTACATAGTTTAAATATTTCTCAAACAACAAAAACTACAGGAATGAAGACAGTGTAACATTGGCCTAAGGGTAGACATACTGATACAATGAAATAAAACTGCTAGTACAAAAGTGAAATCATACTTATGGGCAATTGATCTGTCACTCGGAAAATAGCCTGGCGGTTCCTCAAAAGATAAAAAACGTTGAATTACACTTTGACTTGGCAATTATACTCCTAGATGTAAGATAAAGAGAAAAACATACATCCTTCTAATAACTTTACACAAATGATCGTGGCAGCTTTATTCATAGTAGTCTCAAACTGAAAGTAACTCAGATGTTCATCAAGTGATTGGCAGATAAATATGAATTATGTATTCAATGGAGTAAGGTTCAGCAGTAAAGGAAGTTCTGATACAAGCTACAGGGACTAGCTTTGCAAACACCAAACCCTAGCGAAAGAAGCTAATCGCTTATTGACTCCACTCATGTCAAGTGTTCAAATTATGAAACTACAGACACAGGAAGTTGGCTAGTTATTGCCTTGGTGGGAGGGGAAGGAGTTAGTACTGAATTGAGACTGAGTACATCCACTGTATTGCGGCGAAAAAAGGATTGTGTGTAAAAGGTGATTTAAAAAAAATCTAAAATTAAAAAAAAAATCTAAAATTAGATTGGGTGATGGAGGCTCAACTTTGCATACGCACAAAACTCACTGGATTTTACACTTCAGACAAATCTCAGCTGGGTGCCAGTGGCTCGGCCTATATTCCTAGTCTCAGGGGGGGCTGACCTCTGAGGACGGTGGTTCAAAGCCAGCCCAGGAAAGTCCATGAACCTCTTATCTCCAATAAACCACCAAAAAGCTGGAAGCGGAGCTGTGGCTCAAGTGGTAGAGCACTGAGTTCAAATCCCAGTATCAGCACAAAAGGAGGAAAAACAGGAGGTCCATTTTGTTGAGTACAAGTAGCAGCGCCGGTGCTCACTGGACACTATGCTGAACGTGAACAACTGGTGTGGGGACAGGCAGGAAGGCCTGGCGAGCTGGGAAGGGGTGACACCAGCCCCTGACGTACACAAGCGTGGCCCCCCGGAGCCGCATAGCAACATTGGTTAGCCTGTCACACCAATCCTACTTTTCACTCCGGAAGAAGGGAGCCGACTGAGACGCGGGGTCTGCGCGGGGTCCGCGCGGCCTCCGGTGGGGGTGGCGGGGAACGGAGGCGGGCCCGGGGAAACCGCCATCGAGGACACGGCGGCGGCCGCCTCACCGCACCCCGGCCCCCCTCCCACCGCCCTCCCGAACCCGCGAGGCAACCCGGCGTAAACCCGCCGCCGGCCCGGCTTCCACTCACCGCCCCGCAGCAACAAGATACCGGAACCGGAAGCGGCGCCGCCATCTTTGTGATGGGAAAAGTGTAGTTGAAGGAAGTCCTTGGAACCATCCTGGGCGCAGGCTGACAAGGGCAAGGGAAGGTAGTTGCGGCCATCTTAACTGAGGGCAAGCCCGCTGTACTCGGGTAGTTGATGCGATTTCTAAAGGAGACTTGGTGTGTGATGGACCCTAAAAGCATAGGAAAAATGGTATCTCAAAAGCCCACGTCTGCTTGGCTTATGACATGGTAATCCTTCTTTACAACGTCTTTTAAAGTTTGTTTTTGTTATTCTAAAAGTGATGTAGGGACAGTTAGTCAGGGACAGTGCTTTTTTTATTTTCTGTCAGTCATGGGGCTTGAACTCTGGGCCTGGGCGCTGTCCCTCAGCTCTTCATCTCGAGGCCAGTGCTCTACCACTTGAGCCACAGTGCCACTTCCAGTTTTCTGGGGGTTAATTGGAGATAAGACTGTCACAGACTTTCCAGCTGGGCTGGCTTTGAACTGTGATCCTCAGATCTCAGCCTCCTGAGTGGTGTGAGCCACCAGCCCTGGCTATTATCTGATGTTTGATTGCATGTTTATTTGCTCACCCAAGTGCCATCTCTCTAACTACATTTTATTATTGTTTTGTTTTGTTTTGTTTTTGGGTCCTGTCGTACGGCTTGAACTCTGGGCCTGGGCGCTGTACCTCGGCTCTTCAGCTCAAGGCTAGCACTCTACCACTTGAACCACAGCACCACTTCCCGGTTTCTGAGTGGTTTAGTGGAGATAAGAGTCTCACGGACGTTCTTGCTTGGGCTGGCTTTGAACCGTGATCCTCAGATCTCAGCCTCTTGAGTAACTAGGATTATAGGTGTGGGCCACAGGCATCCGGCTAAGAGTACATTTTTGGGGGGACTATGTCGACCCTTCTCTTGCTGTCTCCCAGTTTTTCTCCCTCTGTACAACATCGTAATAATAATAAAATTGTGTGTGTGTGTGTGTGTGTGTGTGTGTGTGTATTAAAGCTATAGGTCTACATTTGGGGGGGGAGGGGGGGCAGGGGAGAAGTAGAGAACCTGGGAATGGGGGCACCCAAGTGAATGAATCCCAGCGCTTGGGCGGCTGAGACAGGAGGATTATGAGTTGAAGGCCAGTGCAGGCCTACACAGGGAGTTCCAGGCCAGCCTGAGCCACACAGTATGATCTTATTTCAATTGGAGAGAGAATGAATTAACAGAAGAGGTCAAAAGTATTTTAATATGTATCAGTGCCTTTAGGTAGCTATACACAACTGCTAGAATTACAGAGCCACAGAAAAAGACAAGATAAAATTAGAACAAACTTAGTTTAAAGATCTAATTGGTGTTCTGAAGAGAAGGGTTGAAGAAAGCAGAAAGAAACAAAGAGTGGATTTATTGGTTCAAAGCTACTTTTCTTATAGGGTTTATACAGAGGACTTTTTTTTTTTTGGTAGTCAGGTTGGAACTGTTTGAAAAACAGATACATTTCAAAATTTCTGTAAGTGACATTTAGCGCAATTGACCTCAT